TTAACAAGATGCCTCATGGAACTCGTCCAAAATTGATTTTCAAGTCATTAAGAACGAAGGCTTTTTTTCGCAGGATTTTGACCGTTTCACTTCGTTTTTTCGCCATTTTCCCACTATATAGCGCCCTGCTAGCATTTTAGGCCAAGTACCAAATTATCGTGCCAACTGCCTTTAAGAGCGTATACGTCCGCCTCACCGCCTAGTCTCGAGGCGCAGAGAGAAGGACTCAATGGCGCCGCCTAAATGCTATTCTGTCCTCATCTACTGTAGCGCCTTTTTATATTCACACGTATGCTTCACTTACTAACTTTTAGGAGATAAGATCGATATCAGTGAACCTATAGGAAACATTGATTTGTCCTCATGGATAAATACACAAAACAATTTGCTCTTACTAGCGGCAGGCACGGGCTTAACACCTATGGTTAACGTGCTTAGAGCACGCTTGAAGGAAATGGTTGATGGAAATATTGATAAGTAAGTTCTAAGATGCATGCGTCACTTGTGAAAAAGAACTGAACCAATTTCATTTTATTATCTTGCTTAGATCTAACACTCAATTATTGCTGTTCAATAAAACAGAGAATGATATTGTTAGTGATGACTGGTTACCAATGCGGTGGTCAGACGAAAGAATTACGGTGAGTTTATTTTGACGAAAAGTATAACAGTTACATTCAGGAAAAAATCTGTTACTCTTTTAAGATAGAGCATGTTCTAAGTAGTCCATCTCAAGAATGGAGTGGACGAACAGGACGAATAAACGGTGAAATGTTGCCAGAACCTCAACATTCGTCACGGGTATTGATATGTGGGCCAGATGGATTTAATGCCACTGCACACGAGTAAGTTCACTTAGGCAGCGTTCAGACTTCGCGATGACGTGCGTTGACGTGCTATAACGCGTTGTAACGCGCTAGAACGCACTACCATTGCAGCAGCACTGCAGTACCTAGGCAGGAACGCGGCATCCCGGCAATCCCGGAGTTGCATTACCGTACTCCCGAGTTGTCATTGGAGCAACGGCCACAGCAAGCTGTGCCTCTTTCAAATTGTTAAAGGGATCGTCGACCCTTTAACAATTTGAACGCCACGCAACAAAACTCGTACGCGGCGGCCGCCACGCCGCCTCGCTCCGCCCACCGGCGCGACGACCCGACGATAGAATCACCACACACCCCAGGAACGTAGCCATGGACTGGTATCGTTCGTGACCGCCCCTACCGCTTCGAGAGAATATGGGGACATCGGGCCATCCTCTAATGTTTTGGGAGTGTATAGAAGAATGGGAGAATATCAGACAGTGTGATCAGGCAACCCCACTGTTCTCCCACATTCCTAAGGCTGTAGCGGCCGGCGCCGATCGATAGCCGTCTACGCTCCCGGCTACAACATTGGATCGCGGATGCTACGGTGAGCTGCGTTCATACTCTACGTCAGCGTCCACCAAAGTTTCAAGGTTACGCCAGCGCCAGCGACTAGGAAAGTATAGATATCGATCTAGCGAATGCCAGCGTCTACCAAGGTCCACTATAGACTAAAAACTATTGATATCGCATTTTTGAACTTAAGCAAAACTGCCCACGAAAACGCTGTGTACGCTGGCGGACGCTGACGCAAAGTATGAATACAACCGTAGACGTCGACGTGCCTAATCGCGAAGTCTGAACGCCTTATTGAGCACATGCGCAATCACACTCGTAACATTATCGTTAAGGCTGTTAATAGACGCCGGGTACAAGAACGAGCATATTCATATTTTTCAAGGCTAGTCGAATTGTCAGTGCCAAATTTTATTCCTCTGAAATTCCACAGCACGCTCAATATGTTGGCAGGATCTCTGTGATAGGAATTAATTGGAATAAAGCATTACTTGCTGTACACTGGCAGTATAGCATGGAAGTGAATGTGCATTGGTTAGAGTATGGTGAATCCATTTATTCTCTTTCTCTAACCAGTCATTCTCAATATGATACCAGTAGTCTGAAAAGACGGGATATTGATTATGACGATATGAATTTGCTAAGTGAATATTTCATGAACATAGGGACAAATAAATCAGTAAATACAATATGTATATCACATCTGTAAACTAAACACCATTGTAAGGAATTCCTCGTATCGTATCGTTATGACGCCGTCGCGGTCAGCATCCTTGTCCCTGAAAGAAAAAAGGTTTATCAAACCACTACGAAGTCAACTTTGGTTTATTAGTATTTCAGTAAGGGCTTCGCTGCGAATGCTGGGGCGTGTCGGAGGGCCTCGGCTGGGCACTGCGCCAGCCATTTTCCACGGTTGGCAGTCTCTGAAATTGGTGAAGAACAGTTTGGCGTCGCACCACCCTCCCCCTCCAGACATGCTTCAGCATAGGCAGCGAACAGTAACTGAACGTTTACAGATTGCAATATTGTGCCATTTGAACGATTCTATGAGTAACGGTGGAGTGCGGGGAACCGATTTTGCAGCCGGACGTCTTCGCGGTCCAATACTGCTAAAAATCTATTGCCATACCACCCATAAATTTCGGTGCACCCTGTGATTCTGGAGTGCCAAATCCCTAATTAATTAGCCTTCATCTTTTTTGGATGGGTTCCCATAACTAACGTTTGTTTCCATCGTGACTTTTTTGGCGGAAATTCCCACTTTTTCCTGTATTCTTTGCAAAAAAGTTTGTAATGGAGGAATTGAAGGTGATAGTTATCAATGTTATCAAGCATGAAATTCCGAGGAAAATGCAGGTTCCTTAACTGAAATCTAGTTTTATACATAATTCACAATGTTCATTACTCCTGACGTCAAAGCTTCGGAAAAAGGAAGCTCGAGTATGCTGTTCGGGCCACAAAAAGTCAAAATCACAAATTTAAGGAATTTCCCTACGTGCATGAAGCATTTTTTTTTTGCTTGGAGTAAACCACATCTAATACTGGTAATGAACTAAAGCGGAGAGCAAAACTGTTCTGCAGATTCCAAAGTTAAAATTTATGCAGAATACAAAACACAACAAGGTCAAAATTTTATTTATTAATAGAAAATAAAGAAATTAAAAGGAAAGGTGCAAATATGAAAAGGAGCCTGGCAAAGTGTATCGTCATTTGGAACTGCTTCCTACCTTCTAACCTAACCCTGAAACTACCTTGAGAAAACCGCTAAATTTCTATTCCGGTTTTAATAAATAATAAAGCTTTATTTTCAGAAAAGGTAAAGCTTAGATTTTTGGCCACTAACCTGAAGGCAGCGGTGAGGGTTTGTAATACGACACATAATTGGATAAAATCGTCAAAATTGATGTGTCCAGTATGTGTTCGATCGAATTTCATCATCAGTATGTTGTAAAACTGATCCGAAAGGCGGTAACCTGAAAAACTAAACTCATTTTCCACAGGGAGGTAGATGTTAATGTTGGCGCTATTACAACACGGAGGGTTATTTTGATGCATAGCACCAGGGCACGTCGCACGTTGGGGATCCACGGGGAGGGAGGTCGTATTAGGTCTCTGAGGGGGAGGAATCGTATTTGTTTTCCAGAAAAATGGTTTTGGTTGCTGTTTCTTTTTGGTTTTTCCAGTTTCGTGTTCTATACCTCCACTCGCCGCTCAACGGCAGTTTTCGGGCCTTGGAAGAGAATTTCTCCGGCGAAATGTGACAGTTGGGGAGAATTTGGTAAGATGATGGGTAAGATGGGGGATAGAAAAAGGTGAGGAGTCGTAGCAAAGGAAAAGACTTCGAGGAGTCGTGTTTTGAAAAATCTTTAACAACGGCAGGAAAAGCCCTCATAACACCCCAACATTCAAACTACGACAATGTGTCGAGGTGAAGGGGCGAGACCAGAAGGAAGGAGTCTAGGGTGAGCGATCCCAGTCCTTCGTACAAAAGCAGGTCGCTCGAACTAATTCTCCCAACAGCCCTCCCCTCCCCGCCCATCGTACTGGAAAGCCGCGTAAGACAACTTACCAAATCGAGACAAGGCGTTTTGAAGTTCTTGTTTGTCGATATTACCGCTATTGTCGAGATCAAAACCACGAAAACAATTGGTCCAGTCATTAATGTACTGCCACAAGGCCTGAAAAAAATAGATGTTCACACTACCTCTAAAGCAGACCCTTGAACAACCACATCCCCTGATGATAGTTTTGATCCTCCGCTAAACGAGAGATGGAAAAACCAACATTCCAGCTCTTC